AGGAAATCCTGGATACGGCCCTGTTTGGAGTCATCAAGTCTTATTGCTTTCTAGATAAAGTGTCTATGGCTGAAGTTTAGGCAAAGGAGAAATTCCTGCATCCTGATACTTGATGTTTGGACCGACAGACTGCAAACTCTGCAATTCTTTAGCCCACTGGAGTCAAATCTACAGTAAAACACTGATACACTGTAAATGTGCAGGCAATATCCCCAACATCATCAGCTCAGTCAGATCCTTATTTTCTAATGAATATAAAATCATCAAAATAAAAGTCTGAATGGAATTTGTCTTCCCATCAGCAGGGGTTTCTGCTGAAATTGCACCATCAGAATACCTTTATTATTAGTTCCACAGAGGGGACATTTACAACATAAATCCAACATGGCCACCATGTGCCAACCCGCTGAAAGTAACATTCAAACAACAGGTCACACATGATTCTAATGTGTGTCTTTTTTTACAGATGTTTCTCTTCCTCTTCACTTATCTCCCCTCATGCCTCTTCTTGTCTTTCAACAGTACCACATGGAAAAGAAGATGTGTAACCATGGTAACCGCAGCAGTATATGTGAAAGAGACATGAGTGAACAGAAATATAAAATGGAAAAGCACTCATTATACCTCCTACATTCCACGGCTTTTAGCAGCGTCTTTCCCTCACTGACACTGATCCTCAGCTCCTAGAAATACTGATGAAGCTGTTCAGCCAATAGCATAGGAACCACCGTACAAACAGCAAAGGCAGGAGGGCTCTCCTAACACAGCCTGGATGACTTTTAATAATTATGACACATGGTACTGATTCTGATTGTTGACTGGACCGCACCATAGTATAACCCTCAAAGTCTATGCCTGACTCAGCTAGTGAGTAATGGAGCTCAACAAAGGTTTGATCAGGAAGACTACCTACGTTATTCATCCTTTCTTTCACTTCACAGGCAGCCTCTAGTAGGCTGATCATGGGCGTCCACTCTTTAGGTCAAAAAGCTACATTTGAACACGCTGCCGTCAAACTTGAAATCTGTTCTCCTCTCTTTGCTGTCTGCTGTCATTCCACGCGGTGTTGCTGTAGAACTCCTCTACCCAATCCACATCACTCATTAAAAACCAGGACCAGATTCAAATCATAAGTCTCTGGAGCACACTTTAATCAAAACATATTTTAAATGTTCTAATGTTAATATGTGGGAACAGTCTCCAAATGTAAAGTAGACACCAATAAACATTATTATAATAAAACACTGATGATTCAGAAACAATCTGTGCTTTAGCCTTTTTGTGGCAGCATTTTTTCTGTAATTGGTTATTTTACGAGAATTTCATGAGTTGAAAGGTGAGTTTAGTATCGAATTGCTTCAAATCTTCCCTTATGCTTCTCATTTACCAACCATGTTACCCCTTAAAACCTGCTTATCCTTGTTTATACTGCATTTGGGTCCTACCTTTTCCACGCATCCTATCAAGAGGCTTGCTTTAAATGTTACGAAGACCAACTCTGAACTTCATACTGGAAATAAATGCAACCCAACTTCAGTTAGCTGACTCATTGTCAGATGTGGAGAGATGATCAGACGGAGACCAACAGTTTTCTGAGGAAGTGCAGTTGTTTCTTGGTGTTTTTCAGAATTCCATGGCATTAGCATTAAATGTCAACCGACTGTTTCGTCTTAAGGTTAGTGTACTGTGTGTTTCCAGCTATCTGAGTGCTGTAAGAACACAGTGTTAGTGCGGGGGGATTAGTGAGTCCCCCCCACTGCTCGGATGTTTTCAGAGCTCCCTTTCGAAGAATCCTTTCCTGCTAAATCTATCGGTACAGTGATTTGCTGTAACTGCCCATAAACAGTTAAACTGAACTCTATATATGTACTGAAAAAGTTGTTAGGATTGGCTGAATAGATTTTATAAGGAGGCAAAACAGCCATTAAACTCCCATAGAGAGGGGGACAGACTAAGCATTGCTGGAGGCTAGCAACCTCCATCTCTTTTCTTTTCTTCAATCCGTACGACCCCCAATCGACTAGAGATGTACGTCAGAATCTGCGTGGAAAGGATTTTTTTTCTCCCTTTTTCTTCTCGCCCACTGACTGTTATGATTCAACTCAGCCTTTAGAGCAGGGTTGAGAAGAGAAGAGCGTGGGCTTACCCTGCTTTCTCCCGGTGTCTCTCTCTCCATCTCGGCACCGGCTTCCCTTCTGCACGGAGCTGCTCTCTTTTACTCAGAAATGTAATTCTAGGTTTGTACATGACTGTGAAGCCTACATACATACACACAGATAGAATGGAACAGCTCAGTGGTGGGATGTGTGAAGGAGGTGGGGACCAAAACGACCATCTGACTGTGAAACAAGCGTGAATCATATCTTTAACACCCATCTTCTCCTGTCAGATTCCTCACAAACTATGTAGACTGATTACTTCAGACTGCGTGAATAAGGGGTTATTCTTACAGCGTTTCTGCATTAGTACACAATTCACACTAGAACAAGTTATCTATCTCAGAGGAGTTAAGATCTCGTGAATCTTAATTGTGGATATGGATTGTTGTCCATGCGCGTGTACCGGTCTCAGATAGTTGGAAGCCAGGACTGGCCCATATACAGACTGGAGATAATGTGGAGGAAAAGCCAGGATAACCAAATTGAGAAAATGGACAAGAAGCGTTGAGGCAGTTCTGGTGAAACTTTGCTGACACACTGCAGCTTAGTTTTTATTTTGACATGGTTTCTAGACTCGGCTGGTGCATGTCAGTTTACTTCAGGCTTGTTTGTTGGCACCACAAGTCAGACTAGTATACATAGTGGTAATCATCATGATTCAACACTTGCCTGACTCTGCATTGGTCCATAAGGCTGGTTTAGCTTCTGATGATTCATTGTGTGTCTCCCAAGGAGCTTGCCAAAATGTTTAGGTTTATTAATGTTGAATTGGTATATACTGTTTCTATATTATGAACTGTCGAGGATGTGAAGCATTTGTCGATCTTACAGGCACATTCTTATGGTATCTTCATCACAGAGTACTGATATGGTGCGCTGATCTTCAGATCAGGGGAGCACAGCTGGACCACTGTAGTCAGCGTGATGTTGTCCACAGTATCCAAATGATTGCATGTCTAAAATATGTCATATACAGCACTTTGAGCGCTTATATAAATACCATGAGTTATAATATGTTGTCATTTTGTTCCTATTAAAACAGAAAATACAATTTGGTGGACCTACATTTAGAACCATTTAAATCAAAAACCATATCCATCAATAACTTTTGTTCATTTTAATGTAATGCATCACTTAAAAAGTACCAAAGTATTAAAATATGTCGGCTACAAGATCTTTCAAATGAAGATAAAAAAAGAACAATGTTGAAAGCTGTCCAGTACTGTTTGCTGTCATCAAAGTCCGGTCAGACCTTTACTTATTCTAAGATTTCACACCTTTGCTAATTCTAGTTGTATTGGTTTCATTCAGACAATGAACTGGCTGATTGTGTTAACACAACATTAAACCATATTTCCAGTATATAGACTTTGAATATAGGACAACCAAAAGTTGTTTTTTAAAATGTCTCTAAAGACAATTAAAACACTCCAGAGAGTTATGTGTTTTACAGACATTTCTGATTTGATTTCAACAGAATAAAGTTGGAATATTTTTAAAAGCAAATGTTATTGCCTTAACCAATATTACAAATATTTCAAGAAAAAAATTATTAAAGCATCCTGAATTCCACTAAACAGCACTGCCAGTACTTATTTGGGCAAAATGGGGACACTTGAGATTGGTACTGCACTCAGGTACTCAGGCGAGAGTAGACGGTTGTTAGGCACTTTTCTTAAGTGTTCTCCAAAAATGACTACGTGAAACCCGTCTTCATGCCGATAGCAACAAACTTTGATGAAAGCTTCCCTATGCTAGTCCAAGTTGCTAAATACAATGGTAAATGGTGAATTGACGGCATTTAGAGTTTTCCTGTTTTGAATTACTTGATTCTATGACACCTACAGAAATCCTAAGTCTTAACCAACTCTGCAGCACGCACACACCTTTGATATACAAAGAGAACTGGATACAGCAATGGAGGCCTGGCCCCGTTCATTCCTATCAAAGCTGCTCAGTAGTGCATGAAGCCAAATTGCCTGACTCAAGTAAAAAAACGTCCGGAGTTCTCTGGATCTTCAGCATCAATGGGGCCCAAAGAGCATGCACATGTTCCTGAAGCCCCGCCTCAAGAATTGAAAAGGAAACTTACTCTGGATTTGGCGATTACGCATTTTACAACTTTGAGGACCTAATGATTTAAATAAGTGTTCAGACTTTGAAGTTGATTCACCTCAAACCTCTCTTTAAGTCCATGGGAACAATTATTTTGGACCTAATGACATCATGCGACTGACTTGTAGGTTGCAATACCAGCATTTGGTTACTACCAACATGTATCTCAACACCTGGTGCACTTTCATGGTGTTTGGCACATACCAGATGGATAAAATGTAGAAGCAGAATGGAAATTGAAAAAAAGGCAGTGTGGTTGAGTAATACGAAATTACTACTCTCTACTTCTACAATGGTCCTTGGTAAATGGACTGCATTCATACAGTGTTTTTCCCGTCTTTACGAACCATCAAGTCAGTATTCACCCATTCACACACAATTATACAAAGGTCTTTATCACAGCCAATTGTGGCATATTACGGATTTTGTTGGTTCAAATGTGCATATTGAATATATTGCCGAAACATAAACACACAATGTTAGGGCGTATCAGGTTCAGGTTATTTATTTGTACCCGTAGGTAGATTTAGTTTGCAGAGAAAAAGACAAGGGATCCATCCTGACACACTCTAAAAACAAACAGACACATCGCTAATAAAAGGACTAGTAAAAAGTACAAGTATACCCTGCTCAACCAAATCTCAAAATATTTCCAAAACATTTGAAGAAGGAAAACACTAGTACAAACATGGACAGATATGGGATTTTATGTCCATGCACACTCACCTCCTTTATATCCCCATCATTGTAGAATCGCGCTAACTGGAAGACATTGACATCTCAGTAGAACTGCTCTCACATTAACTCCAGATGTCTAGAAAAAGACACACACAGACATACAGTTACAGAAGCGTGAGATGTTGCTTTACAGTAGATCATGTGAGCTGCATCAGTTGCCTTTTATTCATTTTTTATGACAGTAACCGTTTACTCCGACAAAAAATAGCAATGAAAAGAGCAAAAAACAAGACGCATGAGTACTGTGAAAATATTGGAAGAAAGGTACTTCCTGCTTCATGGAGCTACAGCAGCTTCTTGTACATTAAATATGGTCCACCATATGTACATTCATAGTCAGGCTCACGAAATAGATTATATTGTGTTTAGCTGTAACTAATTGAAAGAGAGATGATAACATGCTAGTTTGTGTGGATGTTAAATATAAAAACCTGATGTTTACAGTGGTTGGTTTGATGCTGAGTCAGGTTTTTGAAGTGAAGGAACAAACCTTTGCTGGACTTAAAAGTACAATATATGATGGTATTAAACACCATTAGCACACTGTTTAGTTCCAATATCTGATCAAAAATAAGTACATTGCAAAAGCCACCCCATCTTTATTTAAAAATGAAAGACATCAATTATTTCTTAACCTATACGCGTCTACTTTACCATTCAGCCTTTACTGACTTAGTAATGGAGTCTGACATCAGCTGATGGCTAAACCTCCAACAGGCCTATAGGATTCCCCCACAATGCCGTCAACAAGCGCGTTGACTTCAGAACTGCTGACAACATCACTGTATGTAACATGTTAATCCACAGGGCTGCAACAGTGCAGTAAATCTCAAGCGACACATGTTGTGCTCGTAAGCAATTTTTACTGTCATGCATGTGATCAGCACATTATGGAAATATAAGAGGCGTATTATTGAGCTCAACCATGCACCTAAATTGCCTTAAAGCAGATGTTTGTAACTAAAATCAAACCGTTTTTGGTGTAAAGCATTGGTATTATATTATTATGACACATGATGTACTTTAAATACTTTATTTGGTTTCTGTGTTAGACAATGATAGTCCCTAAAAAATTACTTAGCAAGACACTGGTCATGGAGAAGGATGACTGGTAACGGGACACAATTATATATTTGATTATTTAGTTTGGAAAGAAGTACAAAACCTTTTTTTCTTAATATATTCTAGGAGTGGCTTCAGTTTGTTGAATAAGTGCAGGGTTAGATCAGTCAATAGTTTCTCAATTCTGAACATTTGTTGCAATGATGTTGGAGGAATATGAGGACTTGGTTTGTTTCATTGCAGTTCACTGTGGTTGTAAGGTAGAGTGCTGTCGTCTCCCAATCAGAAGGTTGGTGGTTTGATTCCCAGCCCTTGCAGTCAACATGTAGATTTGTACTTGGGCAAGATACTTAACCCAAGCTTACCCATTTAAATAAGAAGACAATAGTTAAATCATGCGAGTCAATTACTATCCTTTTTTACATTTACAGTCGTTCTGCATTTTGTCTTTATTTTTCTGGTGCGTGCCAAGCCCCAAGGAATAGCATTGGGCATTGAAGCACATTTTCGTAGTGGCCAAACATCAGAATTACAACTTCCATGTCAGTCACGGGAGGATATTGGTCCAAAATTACTTTTAGTAAATCACCTGTAGACATAATGTATATATACAAAAGCTATCAGCAGAGTTAGTTTTGAGGACACAAAAAAACAAAATGTGTGGGCAGAGGGCAGAGCTGTGCAATTAATCTTATTTTAATCTCAAACATTTTTTAAGGCCGCCATTGTATTTGCTGGCATTAGCATTATTAGCATTAGCATTAGCCCTGCGCACCAACGGAGAGAGGATAACTTATGGCAACACAAAAAAAACATGGGAGCGGTGGAGTGATGAGGATTTACTCGGAAGGCTTCAGTAGAAGATTGACCCCAACTCCGGGGACTTCCGGCCGGGGACTTCGGGTGGCAGTATACGCCGTGAAATTGTTCGCGGCCTGCCAGTAAACCCAAAGCAGAAGAAGAAGAAGTGACGTCAGCGGCTCATGCGTAATCCTCCCTCAGGGAACTTATTCCGGTGTGAACGCGATCGGCTCTTAGTTCCATGCTGGGAACTAAGTGCTGGGAACTAAGTGCTGGGAACTAAGTACGGCAAAGTACTTGGTGTGAAAGCGGCTATTGAGGAAAGGCAAAATGGTGGTAGTGATGTCACTGAAAACATCAGAGGATTTTTTTATGGGGCAGTTACCCCTTAATGACAGGGTGGACAGCAAATGTCAGGGACACATGCAACATGTTCAATATTATTATGAAAATAGAATATACATGATCAAAATGACTCGTTTCATCAAATAACTCGTTGAGGACAATAAAACCATATCATTATTTTTTAAATGTAGTATGATTTAACCACTTATTACACACACTGTAGTCAGCAGAGCAGTGTGTGGGACATGCCAAAATCACGTACGTCCAATGAAAAAATAAGGTATAAAATGAAGGAGACACATTTCAAGAGACTTATCATTGTACTGATGTGTGTGTAAATGTTTGGCCTTTTATAATAAGACCTCAGTTTCATTATTCTGCTACATTTTCATGCGAACTGAGTGATTCTAATGGGGACACCAAAGTTACTTTATAGTGATATTGACCCTGATATCAATATTGACCAGAAATAATCGTGATTATGATTTTTGCCATAATCGCACAGCCCTAGCAGAGGGCCTTACAAATAATAGCTTTGTGGCCACAAACATGTAAGCTGCTCACAAAGATCAACACTTCAAAGAGTAAAACCAGATTCATGAATAATTTCCAGGGTGTGTTCCTATTCTGACCAGAAAGATTACAATATTTCACAACATGTTTATATGACGGATAACATCCTTAATAAAAGTAGAACTGGACTGGAGGGGCAGCATTCCAACATGTTCAAATCAGAGTCGATCAAAGCAAGGCACAATGAAAGCTCAAAGATCAGGGAATGCCAAATGAAACAAGAGTTATATTTTACGGTCAGTAGATTAAAACACAAAGTAAAGCAGCCTTGCCTTTCATAACAAAACTGAGTCACCTAAATTAGAGTTCAGGATTTTTTCTAAAGTCACCACTCTGAATCACAGCCAGTCCACCTCCACAGTCTAGGCTGGTGGAAGTAATTATGTTTAATTACATGCAACACAGTCACCTGGATGTCACCTTCGTCTCAGTGAACAAGGATTTGACTAAATGAAACTATGGTAGAAAATGTTTTTTTCTGCCAGAGTTTCTGAGAGATCATTAACAATTGAAGATGGACAAGGAAAAGGACCGACCAAAAAGGCATGAGTTGAGGAAAATACATTTTATATTTTCCATATTGTTAACCTGAATTGAAATGCAGTTGTAACCAGTTTGTCACGTGTTTGCTACCTGGGTCTTTTTCCTTCTTCTATTTTTTTTTTTTAAAGGAAAGGTCTTACTTCCTTCCTCTACCGCATTGAAGTTGTTAAAATATGTTCCTAGTTGTAGTCCGGCTGTTGTTGACACACATGGTTAGCAAGCTAGCTGGAAGCTAATGTTATTAGCAACTCCGAATATTAGCATACCCAGCCGGAATTTGACCTTTAGCTAACTTCTTCTTCGCTGATCCACCAGAATAAGGCAAACGTTACTGTGTTAGTATTTCTTCTCTTGCAGGTGAGCAGTCAGGACTTTATGAAACATTTAGCAGGAGGCTGTTAAGCTGTGGCTACGTCAGCCATAAGAAATAGTGCTAGCTGCTTGGTGTATACATCAGGAAACACACACACAGACACACACACCAGCAGCAGGTGCTTAATTGTCTACAGCAATATCTGCCTCCTCTGTTTCCCAGATTAATTTGTTAAGCGTCTCAGATTTGTCCCCTACCTGATGATGGGAAACGACACCCAGGGGCCCTTTTAAGATATATTTTTTTCTCTTTTGGAAACCTGATGAAGTTGTTGCCTGGAAACAGACTCATTACAAAACATGCAGCTATTGCAGACCCAGAGTTAGAATGGCAGACGTGTGTTACGCCTATCTGGACCTCTGCTGTGTGATAAAAGGATCAGAGCTGCTGCACTTCAAACAGCTGACTGCATGAAAGCTCCGCCATGCACAGCTCATTTACATATTAAAGCCATGCTTTGCTGTTACACTGTGGTTTTTTCTAAGCTTTTAACTACTTCAATTTAGGGTTAAGTGCAAACTGTGACAACAAAACATTACATTTTGTAATGTGTGTAAAGTTTTAAATAGTATTTAGGAAGTTTAAACTTGTCACAGTGAGTATGCTTAAAAAGGGAGATATTGTTCACTTTTTCATGGCTTTTCAACAGAAACACGTGTACCCAGTGAGTCAAGAGACCCTGTCTTTTTATAAATCTATCAGCACTTATGTGAAACAATAACCTCGTCAGATGTGTTGCTTAATCTGATGATGGCTTCATGTTCCACACAAACAGCTGTAGGGAACATCCCTGCCCAGAGTACCTGCTGAATCTACCTGGCCGGCTGCCATTCTTATATCCTCACTATCCAGGACATGGCAGCAGCAAAGCATGCTGGGTGTTATGTTGTTGGCTGAAATATGCAATAAAAAAGCCGTCAATTTAACACTTCATCTGAAGAGGGGAAAACCGCAGATTCACTATGTTTCTTAGAAATCAAATCTCGGCACAACAACTGTTAACGTAAAAATAATGTATCTTTAGGCTTTAAATGCATAAATACTAAGCTAACATGATGTGATAGAGATACAGTATATAAGAGATAAAAGCCCTGATATTTTTGTTCCAATGATATCAGTAAATTCTCCCTTCTTTGGATCAGATTCCCGCCGGAACATGTTGCTGTTTCCTGGTTTTTTGAGTGGGGCCTTTAAAAAAGATAAGCGTGAAAAGGAAGCGATTCAGACACAGAACGAATATACAATATATACATACATATATATATATTATCCGAGATTAACATTATTTAGACCTGCAGCCGGCAACATGTGGCCTAGCCAAAGTTACCCGGCCGAAGAGAGAGAAGAAATAATAATAATTTGTTAGCATCAGAGCTCAT